CCAGTATATATATGCATGTGTGCACATCTCCACCACTTTATTTTATCATTCTGCATATATTAAACACACTAAAAACTAAAATCACTAACATGCAGCTGAATAATTGTTGAAAATTCACAGTTTAATTTGATATGAATTATCTTCATTGTTCTTGCATAAGTTGCGTTCAAAAAAGTTGTTAAGTGATTAGATAAAATGATTTTTCCTTCATTTGCTATGTTTTCTTAATAAAAGTATTTCATATTTGTATATTTAAGAAGAATTAATATCCGAATAAACAATTTTGTTCATTTTATTGAATACTCCTGTCTAAAATGATGCACATGTAAATATGTTAAAAAGTTTCAAGTGGTAGATGTTTATTGTAAACAAAATAAAATTAAAAATTGCAAAGTTTTCTTATCTTCATATTGCACTTTAAGCACCAAGATAACATATTCTGAAATTTGTTTTCACCTGTTAAGCTTTACTAAGTGTGATTGTCTTTTTTGTTTTTTGGTTTTTTTTTTTAATATTACTTATATTTCCAAGTCTATTTCATTTTCCAGTTCGTAGGATAAAAAATTGTAATTCTAAACTAATGCGATATGTAATTAAGTCTCTTCCAAAAGAAAAATATTGTTTGTATATCTGTGCTAAATTGTATTCAAAATAATACACAACTTATAAATACAATTTAGTTTACAATATATTTTAAATTCTCAGCATAAACAATGATTGCATGATTATCTTAATAGTTTTTTTTGCACATGCGTTTGTAGTCAAGAGTAACAAATCGTTTACTGTTGTTATATTATATTCCATATCATTACCCTTTTCACAATTATGTAAAGAACCCATGTCTTCGTTAGAACTATTTAAACGTTTATTCTATCATTTGCTATCTAATAATTTTAATTATTAGATAGCAAATGATAAGCTTAAGCTTTAAACCGTGATTTTTTTAATCTTTTGATTAATACATGTCATAACATTTTATACACTTTCTTTTTTTTGAAAAAAGCTACGTTAGTGTAAAAAAGTATGTAGACTTTTTGCGTTCATTCTGCTGACAAACATTTATATAGTTGCTGCAAGGTTATTTACAAAAGGTTAATTACACGAACTATCATTTTACACAAAAGATCAAGCGCATTACAGGAACGATACTAGAGGAAAAGTTAGTCGACAATTACGTTGCAGCCACTACTGTATAGAAATAACAACATGTGAACATTTCAGACTAAAAAGCGAATCGGTTTGTTTGCTTATTTCAATGAGGATGTACTGCTTATTGTAAAGAAAAAAAATGTTAATATTTTTTTTTTAACCTAGGCTGTCTATGCAGACGTATACCCTAAAACCTTGAAAATAAGCCGCGACTTATTTTAAGGTTTGGTTAGAAAGTGGGGGGAGGGACTTATTATCAAACCTTTTTTTTTTCCTTATCGCGGCTTATTATCAGTACAAAAATTCTGGTAAGCGATGAGAGCATTATCACAGCTTATTATCAATACAATAAATTGAAATTGATATTTTGAGAATAACTTGTTTCACAGTTTCTAAAATTAATATATCCGGGTAAACTTCTGCAAGAGTTAAATGCGCCAGTGTCTTTATTTCCCTATTTAAAACTGAGCTTTTAGCAATAACGACTGCTAGATATACTGAAAAAGGTTAGAATAGAGAATATAAGCTAAGGGATAAGGTTTTAAATAGTAACACATTTTAGTTTGACTTCCTTCCTAAATGACATTGTCAAGACTAGCTTATTTTCAACACAGGCTTATTTTCGAATAAATTTTAATGCACGGAACCGGTTTATTATAAAATCCGTATTATTTCTAACGTTTTAGGGTATTTATATTGCTATCATTTCTAAATCAATATATTGTTATTACCCTAAGTCTACTGAATTTTCAAGTCTTCAAATACAATGATGATTTTTTGTGACAATTATGGAATATTCTGATAAGTTTTTGGTTATGAAGTTATATTTTGCGTTTTTATTTCGTTCCTTTATCATATTTTCCCCCTGTGCTCTTTGGAAAAGGGACTGACTACCGGTAAGATTAAAGATTAAATACTTATTATCTTGAATATAACTTGACAACAATTATTTTCATATTGGTAAGACAAAAATGTTTAAGATGAACGATAAATGACTTTTAATCAAACATAGTTAATTATTAGTTATTTAAGTGACACCTCTAAAATAAAGTTTTTCTCTTACCTTGCCGTAGAAATTGATGTCTGGGAATTTTTTGTGTTGTGACCTGCATAGTCCCGGAGTATTTATACGGACAAACTGCATTCCCAAATCCTCTCTCGGCAGGTAACATCTCAATATCCAAGTTTTCATATCAATAATATTCTATACTTCATTGACAATTATAGTTATTTCAGTATAATATTAGTGTTTGACAAGTAAAACTTAAATAATTATAGGTGCATTTATATTTTTTGGAGATTCTATTGCGTGTTTGGTATCTGACCTTGAAAAAGCAATCATTATTTCATTCATCATTATCGGGACGTCCTGTTAAAAATTCAATGTCCATCAAAACTTTAACCTTGTAAATATTCCTATATAAAAAAAAACATTTATCTTTATATTTCTCCGATACGAATTTCATTCATAAATTCTTTTTTTTTTGTAACATTATTGCATTTCTTAAAATCGATACAGGAATAAATAATGCTTGTAGAAATATTATTATTTCTAATTTAACGACTTCTTTATTATAAAAATTGCGTACTAATAGAGGTTATTTGATTGAAAAGGATTGGTCCATGATAAACGCTGATTTGCTTGAGAATTCCTCGTCATAAGATTTGAAAAATATTGAACACTTTTTGTCCGGCAACTACCTTTTATGAAACCAAAGAAAGGTGACATAATAAACTAATCATTATTAGGTCTGTGCTATAATAAGGTCTCGTGCATGTATTTTGACGCTGGGAAACATTGTAATGTTATCTGTTTTGAAATGATTACTTTTAGCATCTCAGTTTCAAGTGATGATAAAAGTCTGTGCCTAAATTAGGCTAAATATAACTTGTTTTGAAGGTCAGATACATGTACGAGCATTGCATAAAAAATAGTCAGTAGGTTGATTGATTGACCGCTGTTGTTTAACATCCCTCTCGAGAATTTTTCTCTCATATTGAGACGTCACCGTATGCCGATGAAGGGATTGAGATTTAGACCTTTACTCAAACTTCAGGACTGAGTTGCTCAAAACACTGGTTAAATTTGTCCACTGGATAAGTTAGCCATTGGTTTAATATTATATCCACTGGGTAACTAACTACTGGTCAAATATTTGTTGCTCAAAATAAAATTAGCCTCTGGTTAACTAACCACAGGTTAAGTGAGTTAACCACTGGCTAGTATCACACAATGCATTACACTTATCCAGTTGTCAACCAAAAAAAAAAATGGCTACCATGGTAGGCCTAAATATCAAATAAGTAAATAGTGAGACGTTTTAACGTACGTTACAACCGTATGTGGAGTTCTAAGTGGAAAAATATCGACATGTAAGAGTATCAAAACTAAACAAACGCTTTTGTCGCAAAAAGTGAGGAAAACACAAGTCAGCTCGGATTATTCTTTGCTGAAAATTCAAGTGGAGGATGCATTAACTGTAAACACATAGAATGGGAAAGGATTAGCACCACAGGTAAGATAGATAGAATGATTGCAGAAACCTAGATGGTCTTTAAGCTGTTATCTTAGTTTTTACAGAAAATATTTTAAAGACAATACCTATTCAAGACGTGATTATTACGAGGCAAGTACATCAAATTGTATCGGTTCATACCTAAATAATAACTGATTGGAGTCAGGACACCTTTACTGTTTACACCATGTAAATGTCGTCTGCTATTATTCGAGGAAATTCGCACTTTGTATTATCGCTTTTATACATACCTTGACAGAAAGATCTCAGTCCAGTGGTTTCCCGTTTGTCAAATATTTCCAAACAAGAAATTACTTTCATCACATTTATGTAATCCTGCATTACAATGCACTCACACTGTCTGAAAGTGGGTAGCATTTTTTTTTATTATTACAGAAAGGTCATGGTCGAATATGCAAGTAGATATAGCGAGTTCGTCACTAATGCATTTCGCTCCGTACAATTAAAATTTGCAGTGTAACTAAAATTCATTATCCCAAGTGTATTTTATAAATACATCACCTTTTAAGGTAGAGATTGATAGCTTGTCAACAAAAAAACTACCCATTGAATTTTTCTGAATTTTTTATATGTTTGTGTTGAGTCCTTGTTCTAAATCATATAAAAAATTCAGGGCAGGTCATCGGGCTAGTTTTAGAGAAATTTGACAATTTTAATATAGCCTTAATCAAGCACGGAAGGGCTGAAAAAGCAGGGTAAAATAATATAAGAATATGATATGAAAAGGGCTGTAATTTTTTTATTGGTATATCAATTATCATTTGTCTTATATGAATTCAAACATCTGTCTGTATTGATTAATATTTGACATCAATCTTAAATTTATCAAGCATTGTTAGCGAAAAACAGAGTTACATTTACCAAGATGCATGGTCAAATTAGGTTAAAATATTGCCTATTCCTTGCACAAAGTCTCACACTTCTGCTTCCACTGTGAAAAAATTACCCATCAAATTTCTTTTTTTATTGCATATTATAGATAGCCTATAAGTGTCTTAAATTTTAGAAAAAAATCATACTACATAATGGGGTTTAAATTCAACCTGGAACAAGTTTATTATCTTATACCCTACCCTACCCCCTTCCTTTAGAAGGTTGCAATTTTGAAGAATATGGTGACTAAGAGAGATTATCAAGAATTTATCAAAATATTTCAAAGAAAATTAATAAATTCATTGTAACATTCTTCTAAATTACATTTTGTATCATAAAAACAATTTATACATGTACACCTAGACACATGTTGCCCTGGTTGACCGTTTTGCACTTAAATTAAAAAAGATAAGTTTTCCTTATATCGTTCAAACTGACCTTAATAGATAGAATATTTAATCAAAGTATTTCAAAGAAAATGAGTTAAATTCCAAGTATTATTCTTCTAAATTACATTCTATATCACAGAAAACAATTTATACAAGTACACCTGTACTTACGTTGCCCTCCTTGACCTTTTTGCACTAATATTAAAAAAGATAAGATCTTTCCTTGATACCATTCAAATTGACTTTGTAGATTTATTATACATATGATTCTGGGATGAATTATCAATAAAAATATGTTTTGACTAATTCTGTGCATAAGTAAACTGGTTTTTTTTATCTTCCTTTGACAAAAATAGCATGATTAATTTCACTTTTCTTTCAACAATTCCTTTTTTATTCCAAATACATGTACACATGTACAACATAAATAAGAAAACCCAGTGATAATGAAATTTTGAACACAGAATCAATCCACAACATGATATCCTTGTTTTAAAAATATTCAGCTAAAATGTGTTATGAATTACACTGTTAAATGAAGACTGCCTGGTCATCAGTTGTCAGATATAAATACACTTAAGCATGTTAAAAAAAAAAAAAGCTAAATACATGGTAAAAAATGCGGGAAAATTGGGTGATTTGGTTATCATTACATACATACAAAAATCATGTAATTATAAAAAAAAAACACAGACATTGTATTAGAGGTAATAATTTGAAACTTTAAAGTACAGATTTTGCAAACAGATTCATGAAAGTTAGAGGAATCCCACCATAAACTGTATACATGTGCTACTGTACATTTTTTAAACTGATGATGTAGTTCAAAAAAAAATAAAGTGAATACATTCAGTACATGTACGGTAATAGGTAAACTTGCTATTTTGCTTTTTGTCTTATTAGCTAACAAAGATCAATGTAAACTCGTATGCATTTTTAATTGCCATCATATGCAGCCAAATGCGTCATGTTCAAGGATCCTGACAATTCAGTTGTTTTTATGTCAATACAACAAACGTGTTCTTTCAGAAGGATCTGCAGTAAGCAAAATTCATTCTGTATATTCAGATTTTGAAGCACGTCTTATGGTGTGATATGTCCGTTCCTCTTTACTGTCTCCTTCTGGTACATGTAGTTCTTTTTCTGAAAAGATCAAAATATTTTAATACAATGAGAATGAAAATACATGTTTTACTTCTTTCTTACATTGCAAATATATTATGACTATGTCTATATGAATATAAAACACTTTTGGGATACCTTATTTATATAATATCATGTATTTTTTTAAATTGAATGCATATAAAATCAGCCTCATTATCTGGGCACTTTTGCTCCCAAGGAAATTATTAATGAATTGTCTTAATCAAACAAACTAGTATATAAGGATAAAGATAAAATATTTTAGTTTCTAAATATAGGCTACACTCTAAGGCCAAGACCATGGGGTTAAAGGAAAAAAATAAGCGTGAAATACAAAGACTCAGCACAAACTGTTCAAGAGTTACATGTAATACTAAAGGATCAAGTTTTTGTGGAAATAAAAAACAACATGTACCTTTCAGTGACACATCAAAGCATATACAAGTATACAACTAGCAACCTAACTATTATATGTGGAATTAAAATACTTGATTAATTGAATTCAATTTACAACATGACTTTTTATATGTTTATACACAAATATTAAACCATACATGTATTTAAGTCAATAGAACACCTACATGTAAGTGGTGATGCAGGGATCCCCGTTTCGATTCTCGATCAGTCCAGCATTACATGTTCCTTGTTTCCTGACACACAAATATGCCACTTTATGTTCAGTTTGCTATAGCAGATCTGGCTTGAACTTTCCTGAAATATTAGTATGATCTTTGAGAAATTATTGACTTAAGAAAATGCTTCTTTATGTATACAATAATTAATGCTGTATGTACATTATGGTGTTTAAATAAAAAATACAAGGACTAAAAATCATAAATTTAAATTTTTTTTATACATGTATTATAAAACACCTCTTTTTACCACCCCCTTGAAAAAAACTCTGGATTTTCCCTGATACATGTGCAAGTGTAAATTGAAAGAAAAAAAAAACAAAGCAATGGCTATTTTGGAGTAAATGTAAAAGACATCCTTGATATATTCCTCTTTCCAGGTGACACTTGATTTGGTCACATTATTTCAGCAAAGAAAGCTGAATACACTGTCTAGTTCATAGCTTGCTTCACCTGTAGTATTAAATATTTCTTTTATAATCTATGAATATGATATCTGTTTATAATCAGGGCCCTTTTGAGCATAAAACAATTACATAAGGGAAAACAAAAAAAATTAGTTGTTTCTTTTTTTTCAATGCAACTTTTTACAATTTGCTTGTTATTTTAAAATACAAAAGATTTACAAGTAAATATCCACTATCAATTATAAAAGGGGTTATGATAATAAAAAAGCATCTGCCATCGAAAGCAGAGAAAGTTTATACATTTCTGCATTTGAACAATTTAAAGCAATATGAGCTGCATGTTTGACATTTGCGTACACATTATTTTCAAAAAAAAAAAAAGGAAGAAAGAAAAGAAAAGACAGAAAAAAATTTAAAAAAGAGAGATATTTATTCGGAGAAAAAGGGGCAGTATCTGTCTTGCAAATTATTTTACGTCTTACTGTTCCTATTCAATTTTTTTTGTGCAGAATTTTGTTAAAATCCAGTCTTTTATGGAATGAATTCCACACTTCTTGAGTAAGAAAATATTGTTGAACCAACATTTTCAACTGTTAATTTGCGTAATCCTGATTATTCGGACAAATACATATATTTGATGAAGGAAACCGATCTAAGTGACATTGATCTAAAGAAAAAGTTACAAGGGTCTCGGACGACTATACAAGAATTTCCGTTGAAGTAATGAATTAATATCGATAAACAAAAAAAAGAATTTAAAAAAATAAAAAAATAAAAAAAATGGCGAAATTCAAATTACTGAACAAAGTAAAAAAATATAGATCATTTGAATATCTTCTTTTACTGATGTTACCAATTTATAGAATTTAAGTACTCTCACATTGTTTAAGCTATCAGAATATAAAGGTTTTCAAAAGACTCACACCCTCGTTTATATTTTGAAATATTTTTACTCCAATGATAACATATTAAATTACCTCTCTGTTTTGTCTTGTCACACTTGGAAACTTTTTTTTCCAATACCAATACATGTATATTAGTAAATTAATTTGATCAAATTATCCTTCTCTTCCTGAAGTATCCATGGAAGTATAACTTAGCTAAGTGTTAATTTCGTAAAATCCAGGAGCTTCCGCGGGCTTCGCCCCCTGGACCCCCACCAGGGCTTCGCCCTGGACCCACTGGGGGCCTCAGGGCGGCCCCCAGACCCCCGACCATTTCCTGTGTACACTTCAGTTCAATGCTGGCTACCCGCCTGACTAATTTAATGACAGAAAGATAAATTATTTATAAATTTCTGTTGCTCATATTTGCGATGGATTTTTTTTATTAGCTTTGATTGAAGCAAAATTGAATTATTGTCGTCCTGTACAATAATGATTTCTTATAAAAAACTGTATATTCGGTTGTACAGAAATATTTCTTCTGAAACATTTTTAAACTTTATTTTGGGCTCATTGATCATAAAAGTTTAAATTACATACAAATTGATCATAATAGCACATTTTACCATAAAAATAAAACTCTCAAAGATACAGCTCATATTGCTTTAAGCAAATATGTTTTTCCATTTCTTGATCTGAGTAACTAAAACCACCTCGTGTGTTAGGCACAGATACGTATGATTACTTTACATTTTTTACTAATCCAGCCTTTATCATGTTCTGACACCCGAAATGTCCGGTTTTATTCTTCAATTCTAGAAGTTACAGTCAGAGTCTGGTCATGAAATAAGTTTTAATTCTTAGCTAAATAAAACTACTTTAAGAAGGAAAAAAATCTGTGAAGGTTATTGGTAATATTGAAGCTAAATATACTGGTTGTACCAGACCTGTGCGTCAACAAACAAGCACCATAGTCATGATCGATATATTATAAAGTCGTAAAATTTTAATATTTACCTTATGTATCTGACATGGACACAGCATACAAAAATCTGTTTTGCAAAAATTTTACTTCTTCCGTCATACCAATTAACATCTGTAGGGTCATGGTATTTAAAATGTCTATACAGAAAACAACATCAGGCATAGATCGATGCCGGTGTAACCACGTGGTGCTGCAGCGGACACTGGACAAGGAGTAGTTTCACCAAAAATTATGTTCATGTTCGGCTTCAGTCTCACTTCTATTTTGATTCTCATGAAGATGCTTCAATTTCGAGAACCGTAAAGATTTAATACGTATGGTAACTTTGTCTTCTAAGTCGAGGAAATTTCTCGATCGCTTCGTCGGCCATCTTGTAACATAGACAATAATGTGTAAATGGAGACTTTTATTTGACGGCGTTCCGGAATCCGGAAAAAAAGCACGTGCAAATATGCGAATTCTTTCTATCACGTGATTGCTATCGGTCTCTACCTTAATATTAGCATCAAAATATGTAGAAATTAGATAAAAATATTTATAGATATTGATAACATATGCATCGGAAGCATTGTGAAAGTAGAGTGGCTAATTGAATGTAGGTGGGGGTGGAGGAGAGGGGGCTAAACCAACAAATTAAAAAAAGGTACCCCCAATTTTCAATGCTTATATAAAGTCTATCTTTACAAAAAAAAATCCTGATGCCTGATAAATATTTAGAATTTAATGCTAGATTTAATTTTGAATATATAAATATTTTTATTCACTTTATCTCAACGAGACCTTGCCAACATGATAATAAAATCAAAGGAAATGGTATGCATTTAATTTAAGGCAGTAATTTAATGCAGCAGTCAACAAGAAAGGTAGTTTGATAAAATAAGCAGATAAAAATATCGGCAAGGAAATGATAACTAATATTATTTTCAAACACAAATACATAATGCAAGATCTTTAAAATAGGGGGTAGAGGAGTGTGTGTGTGTGTGTCGGAAGGGGGGGTGTCAATTCTCCATTGATTTTAAACATTGATGTATGGTAACCAAAGAACAATTTATCTATATCCATTATTAGACCTATATGCAAATGACAAACAATTTTATTCATTTATTATTTTTATTTAAACTATACCTATAATAATAATTTTTTTTTTCAGCAAGGGAAGGCTGCTTGATAAGATTCTTTGTAATGTCAACAGATTAATCCTTGAAAGAACCAATTTAAAACATTTCTGCTGACGATGAAGACATAAAAGCCTATCATATCCCTGACTGTGATGTTATTCCTGCCTAATATTGCTACAAATCCACGTCAACTTGACTTTATATTAATGCATATGTTCTTTAAAGTATTCATCAACATTAAATTCTTGGTTACAATATCTATAAGCCTTTGTTTCTTTTGTTATCCCCTAAAATTTACAACAAATAATAATTTTTTAAACATATTTATCCACTGGTTAAGAGACTTAACCAACCTCTGTGGAATGGATAACTTTAGCCAAGATTTTGCCACTGGATAGCAAAGTTAACCAGTGGATAAATTTTGAGCAACAAATTTTAACCAACGGTTAAAAGTTAACCACTGGATAAGAGATTTATCCAGCGGTTAACCTTAACCAGAGTTTTGAGCAACCCAATCCAGCTGAACAATTCGTCTATATTTTTGAAAATTTACTTTGATGCAGGCTTTGTTTTCATTAGAGATCTGTTTGACGTTGAAGAAAAATTTATACCGTAAATCTGGAAATTTTTGCTGTAAATAAATTTTTAGCAAATTTGCGAGTTCATTGCATTCGCAAAAATATTTTTCTTAAAAATAAATTACCAATAAGAAAATGTAAACAAAGAAGTGTCAATTCACAAAATTTTAAAACGTAAAAATTAATCAACACCATTTGGACCCGAATTCGCAAAATAAAATCGACGTAAAAATTTCAAGATTTAAGGTAAGCCTCGAGTACCTCAATAATCTGAATGTACAAACTAATTTTGTAGAGTATACAGGTTTAAAAATAGCTGTTACAAAGATATTGAAAAGTATTGATATTCAAAAAAGAAAAGAAAGTTGACCTTTTATCCCAAATTCAATTTACATTTTTTATAAAAGCACAAATGGATGTAAAGATATGTACAATATACTCATCAAAAAGAAAAAGCAAACAATTAAAGCATTAAAAAATGGGAAAATAATGAATTACCCTTTAGTGGATGCAATTTCAAATCCTGCACAGGATCATTGCAACAAATAAATACCTTTATAAACTTAAACTAACTGATTCACCTGTGTGCTCATTTTTTTTTCTTTTTTTTAATGATTTCCTTCCTCCACCCTTCCCCTTTGTTTACCTCTTTGTATATAAAGCTTTCACAATGAAGATTCATAATATACATGAATGTCATATATCTTTTGCAGCTTTATGAAATGAACTTGTATTTAGCATTTACCAAAGAGAATTTGTATTAAGTATATACTATAAATTACAGGGAAGAAAATTTGAAAGTATGTATTAAATGTAAACAAATCTATCGTACATAGTCTGAAAAAGTGAAAGCAAAAATAAATTCTATGAATTAAAAAAAAAATGGGTAAAAAATATTTTAAGACGTAAGTAAAGCTTTTAAACCTTTATAGAATCATTGTTGATTGATCTGAGTAATCTTTTAAGTTGAAACCACAGGCACCTGACGTTTCTTATTTTTCTTTTAATATAAAAAAATATATATACCCTTACCTTATGATTAACCAAGGTCCCCAAAGGCGCCATCTTGAATCTTTCAAGGTCTGCTACATCCACTTGTATTTTCGTCTGAAACTCCATCAAATAAATTCCCGGGCAACCATGTTCTTTCTCTGGCCAGTCTTTCGAGGTCTAAACTTACGGACACTGCAGCCAGAAGAGAGCATCACACTTGCAAATATTAAAAATCCCTCGTCAAACTCGATCTACTGCTTCAACAATCAGAGAAATCGCCAAAGGGGGCCGGAAGTTTACATCAATATGCTAATGGGAATTCCGCATTTTTCAGTTTTGTGGTGGATCTAAAGCGGGGTGTTTTAATTACTTTGAAATTTTAATAAATATTTCGATTATTGAAATGAAAAAACTGCAAAATGGTAAAAATAAAACACTTTTTATGAATCAACCTGTAAAATATACTGTATTAATCTACTAGTATACAGATCGTTGCGTATGAAACAATCTTGAATAAAAGAGGGGGGTGCTTGAAAAAAAATCAGCAACAAATCATCTAGATGTAATTGAATGGTTTTCAAAAAACAATAGACTGCAAACCATCCAGTTATATATACATGTGTATATACAAATATAACTGGCATATGCTTAATTGAAAAAGGGGAGGGGATACATGCACTGATAAAAGGATATGTAATGAAATCAATTAGCTTATGCAATATGTATACGGATAATCTGGCACGTCACCAAGAAAAAAAAATAAAAATGTCCACTACTTTGTTGCAATACCTAAAATTGCTGATTGCTGATCTCAACACTCCCTGGAATAATTTTAGTGTTGAACCCCCCCCCCCATTCTCACACACGTGCGTATATTAATTAAATAAACAAAGTCAATCTTCTCCACGGATAGCGCTCAATCAGGGCATCAATAATGACAGTGTTATTAATTATATCTAGTGCATGTAAGTAGGGACTTACAACTGACTCAATATTTTTTCTCGATGGCGCCGTTGGGGACCTTGGTTTATTATTAAGTAAGGGTATATTTTATTTATGAAAAGAAAAATAAGTAACGTCAGGTGCCTGTGATGGAAACCTATAAGAAATTCGATACCGTTCTCATTTACTAAGTTAAAGTGAAATTTTTGCTGAATCTAAATTATTTCAAATATTCTTTATTATTTCAAACTATATTCTGTTTTTAAAGTGATGGTATCTAAGTTTTCTACTGAATTTACCCACGAAACATCATCTGATTTCTATCAATTACACTTTTTAAAAAAATTAAGCTATTCTTGTTTTGAGTGAATGCTAAATTATTTTTCCAGCATATTTTTGCGATGGCTACACTTTTTGGATCCTTTTTGTGATTTGCATAAAATTAAGATTTATTGGATTTTTTAAAATATTGCTCTTTAAACAGTTTGGACAAATAAAACATTGGCATACATTATCACAAGTGAAGCATTTAGTAGTCAAAAGAAGTTAAACAGAAATAAATAATTATAGACTTTGATGAAATGTGCTATCATTGCTGATGTTTGTGCGATACTTGATTTGTGTTTTGTCGCGATTGTCACGGAAATGCTATGTCTGATTTGCATAAAGTGCCTCTTTAAGAATGGGGGGTATAGGGGAAGTATAGTAACTGTTTTAGAAGTATTTTATTCATAATATACAAAGAAGTATATGGATTGAACTGCAGTCCAAGGGTCTCTATTAGTTCTCTTCATTTGAGATCAAGGTACAAATGTGAATATTGACCATATATTAAAAGTTCTACAAAGATATGTATTATAATCGAATAACCAATAGGGGGAGTTTAATTCAAAGATACTTTCTCAAGATACTTGTTAATATATTTTCACTCATGTTTTAATGGTATGTAAAAAGGAAAAAAGAGCTATATAAATGATTCGAACCCTCCTCAAAGCTCATCATAGGCGTAATAATGAATGCGTTCACCACTGCATGCTATACGAAGTATTCATGTTATTGTGTGTAAGTGTGCTATAAAAATCAAACGAATTTGTTGACACATAATGTTTTCCACCAATCAAATGATTTATCATTAAGTCGTTTTTAATTAGCTCTTTGGATCAAGAACCAGAAGAGCTTATGCGATAGTGATGTGTCTGTCGCTCGTCCCTCTGTTTAGCTGTCCGCCCGTCTGTCTGTAAACATTATTTTTTTTCAAGATGCTACTCTTCTTACAGTCTTGGTTGATTTTAATATAACTTGACACACTAGACTACACTAATACATTATTCTATGTATCAGTTTTTGATTTTGTGAAATACTTTCAAAATGCAACCTTTCTCTACATTTCAGTACAGCTACAGTCTCGACAGACACTTCTGAATTCTTTTTCTTTTTGGCTTATTTCTTTCATCTAATTGTTAGGACTTTGTTTTCATATTAAATTTGATTAAGGAATGCTCCGTTTACTTGATCAATACATAAGGGTCACTCCTTCCAAGCACCTGTTCCCACCTCTGGTATTTCCGGGTGTTCCGTATTGATATCATTCTCACATATCTGTATTGTTTGTATTTTTTCCGGCATCAATCAATGCTCGTTATCCTCATACTTTTTTAATTCCAGTTTAATATTTAAATAGAATGGATTCAAACGTCATTTAAAACACACAATTAATTTTACATTTACGTTTCCGTCATTTAAACGCACGAGATAGACAAGAAACCTGATTCATTCAAAATCAAATTCTTATAGCTG